CACCGCAATGAAGGAGATGATGGCATAGAAGTTCAATATGAGACAATTCGTGTGCCACAAACTGTAGATTGTCTACAAGGTATCCTTACAATAATACCTTTGCAATTACTATCATATCATCTAGCAGTATTGCATAAAATCGATGTCGATTTCCCTCGTAATTTGGCTAAATCAGTAAGTGTTAGCTGAACGTTCACGTTAATATTTTCCATTAATTGGTATTTTTCCTATGTTAACAAAATTTAAATAATTCTTTTAAAGGTAACTGTCGAATGATTTAAAAGCTGTCGTCTTAAAATAATGTAAATATTGTGGCATAGCCTCATTTATACATATCTATTTCTTGTTTTTTTTTTTTTTTTTTTTCTTTATAATATTCGGAAATTCGCCATTCGCCTAACAAATTTTTTAAACATTTGTGGTTATGAACTTCATTGAGTTGGATTTTTAAAGATTTTATATATAATTTATTTATTTATTTATTTTAATAATAAAAGATTTATGAAATTTTATCTGTTATATTTGAACTTGTATACTTGTATACTATTTATAGTCTGTTACAAAAATTTACTCATTGTAAATGAAATTTTTGTTGTCAGTTATTAATTAGGGCTCTTTCTTCGAATTCGGATATATTGACGCTTATAAGTATCTATTCTTTCGTTCCACGTTTAATTCTGGTATGAAATTCGAGCAAGTACATTAATGATCATTGTCAAACTAGGCTGATGGTAACACAATTGATAATGGCATCTTTAATTAAAAATTTCAACAAATTTTGGATTATCAAAATAATTTAGACAATTCTCCCTTCATACTGTCAACCCATAAAATATGGTTTTTTCATTACAATGAGTTTAAATATTGAACAGGTAGCTTTTTCTTTTATTTTTTTGGTATGATTGTGATGATTAATTATGATTGTGATGATTAATTATGATTGTGATGATTAATTATGATTGTGATGATTAATTATGATTGTGATGATTAAGTTTTTGAATGAAATTAATAAATTTTTTATTTTTTTAGAATAAACATTATTTACGCATACAATAATTTTCATATTTTTTGTGTTAGGGAGGCCAGAAAACACGTGTTTTTTTAGGGGAGGGGGGTCTTTTTAAAAAACATGTCTATTGATAAATATTGTTTAAACTAAACGCACCATTATTTAAGAACAGAACAGAAAAATACATTATTATTTTTTTTGTCTACAAATGGTTGCAAAATTAAAATCAGATATAAATTATCTGATGTAGCAAAAGTTACAGGACCCGATTTCAATAAGTTATTTGAAAGTTGGGTAGTATTTATTTTTGCACATTTATGTTTTTTACAATTTATTTATTTACAGTATCTTTAGATTGTAGATGTATGAAAAAAAAAACTTCTATAAATTTTATTCTGGCAAAAATATCAAATCGTCGGTACTGTTTCTGATGGGATAAAAAAAAAATCGATTTACGTGCGTACCTGATAGTGGTTCTTAAAAGAACCCGAAGCCGAAGCTAATTTCTCATGAATATGCTTAGTTATAATAAGGATGTCAAAGTCATGACTCGTAACGTTGATCTCAATGTAAATCTAATAATTTACCTTGAAATAAGGATATATACTAAAACTTTTATTATGACCGAAAAATAGTTGTAAAGGTAGTCATTATTAACTTAAATTTTTGCGCCATGGCTTATTACTTCGATAGTAATGTAGTTTTTATAATCCTATCAGGAATGGTACATAAATCGATTTCTTTTTCAAACCTTACTTCTCAGGAACAGTACCGAAGAATAGTTTTTTTGCATATAGATTCAAATAAAATATTTTTTATTAAATCTAATTTTTCAATATTTTAAATGATTCTATTAAGCTATTTGTTTTATGTTACCATTTTGGATTGGTTCTGTTTTCTTCAATAATGTTATTTGTT